TTTGGTTATTTCCAAAAGCCTATAATAATAATCTACAAACATGAACTTTCCCAATTTTCTGCCCTCTCATGATGAACTTCCTTATGACCACAGATCTTACATCTTTATTTTAAATATGTATACAAAACTACCCCTTTCACCTGGGCTCTGGGGTCTGTAAACTTACCTTAAGTCTCCTTTTCTACCCAAAACATATAGGCAATACCAGAGAGAGAGAGAGAGAGAGAGAGAGAGAGAGAGAGAGAGAGAGAGAGAGAGAGAACACATTTTGAGAGAAACAGAGGTAGGGAGAGAGAGAGAAAGAGAGAGAAAGACCCAGAGAACCCCTTAGTAACTCTGGAAAAGTAGCCAGACCATCTGTCTACTTACTGTCCTCCTCTTTCCCTCCTCTTCTCATACATCTGATGTACTGTTTTTATTTATTCTGCCCTTGTCAGAATAAACAGTTACTATAACTACTTCCATAAGGGCCCATCAACAGTGTCCTGGTTTGTAAATCCAAATTCACTTCTCTGTTCTGTTACTTGACCTGCATTCTTGTCTGCCTGTTCATGCTTGACCTCTTGTTCTTGGGTTTGACAGCATTGTTCCCTGTTGACTGCTTCCTTCTTCCTGTAGCTCTTCTGTAATCTTCATAAACCACTTTCTTAGGCCTCTTCTGAATCTCAGCCAAAGCATCTCTTTCCTACCTGACCTTCAATGCTGGGAATTTTCTTCTCAGTATATACTGTTTCCTAAAGTGATTTGGCCAGTCCCATAGTTTCATATGCTGTCTATATACTGATAATTCAAAAAAAAATTTTTGCTAGTCTAGCCCTCTCCTAACCTCTATGTCCACAGAGTCAGTTGGACGCTTCCATTTTGAATAACTTATAAGCATCACATATGCAATATGCCCCCAAACTTCACACACCATGTTTTTCCATATACACTTCCTCAACGCCCTTTTCTTGGTCATTGTACCAGTGTCCTCTTTTTTTACAGACGTCCATGAGTAGTCATATTGATTTTACATCTTAAATATTGAGGGTAGAGGGACTAGGAAGGCACTCTACCACAGACCTACAACCTGAGCCTCGCATTTTAAAGATTTACAGATGTTCTTCCTATCTCTGCTCCCACTCTCTTAGGACTACCTCTGCTGTTGGCACAAGTCTCTTGACTGATCTTGTGCCTCCTTTCTTGACAATCATATTCTCCATATTACTGCCAGATTAATCTTCTAAAATGGAAATAAAATCTCATCACTCTTCCCTAAACTCTCAGTGACTCCCCATCTTCTTCTGGGGTTTCTCACCTCCCACACTGTTAGCATTTGGGGTGGCTCTGGTGTCCTGTCATCATAGGGTACTCACCAGCATCCCTTTCATCTTCCCAGAGGATGCTAGTAGCAGCCCCCCCAACACTCACTTTTGACAACCCAAAATGTCTGCAGACCTTGAGGAATGTCCCTGGGCATAGAGCTGACAACACTGTACCTATCTGAGATTCACTGATTGACAGGGTAAGATGCCAGTGCCTTAGTGAGTTTGAATAAAAGGGCCTTTGTAATCTGCCCCTCCCTGCCTCTCCAGTGTCATTTATTCTCTTACAGCCCCAAATAGTCCATGTGTTCTGGTTACCACTACATTTCTTAAATCTGCCTATTCTTTGTCTAGTCTCCACGCTTAGGGCCTTTCTCTCTGCCAGGGTCCTGTAGCACGTACCCACTACTCTTTTCACTCAACCAACCCCCTTGGCCCTCAGAATTCAGCCCAACAGGAACTCTTTAGGAAACTATTCTTGACTCTTGGTCTTGTTTAGGTCGTCTTTTGTGTTCTACCCACTTGCTTCCCTCTCCTTGTTCATAACATAGTCCAACATCTATCTATCCATAGTCAATAACAGCTGATGGCAACGACTGTTTTTACCTCTCTGCCCCCACACAGAGTCCTACCCCCCAGTAGGCACTCAGTAATAAATGTTGATTTGATACATGGTGCTCAATAAGTCTTTGTAGGACGAATGAATAGAAACACCTTCTTGTCACAGCTCTTTCACTTGCCACCATTCCAGCCTGTTTATGTCATCAAAAGAAAGCTAGTTGGTCAGTAGGTCAAGCTGCCATCCTCAAAGCTGTAGTCTAAGGAAGAAAGTATAGTTCTTCCACAAAGCCTGTGGCACTCTGCTGGCAGCGTGGCACAAATAGCCAGCTTTATCTCGCTTTGGGTCCTAGAAAGGAACAAGAAATTGGACTAAAACAAGAACTCAGAAAAGAAACAGGACATTTTTCTCCTGCAGCATATGGATTTCTCATTAGTCCATGTAAGGGAAAACTGGGGGTGGGGAGGGCTCGGGGCTGCAGCTGTCCACACTCCCTCTCCTCGTCATTCTGCCACCACCACACCTGGTCCTCAGAGACACCCTCACTTCTCAGCTATTTTGGCTTAGGTATGAACAGATCTTCTTGGTTCAGCAGAGGCTAGCCTGGAATTTTTCTAAAACAGCTTTGCTTGGAAACTAGTAGGGAAAACAAAACAAAAGTGAACACAGGAAATAGGGTATAGAAATGATAAAAAATACAGAGTAGGGGAAAAAAGTCCTTTAGCCTAAGATAAGTGAAATAATGGTGTTCATTTTCCTGGACTCGATTTATTCTTTGTTTAATTTTTCATGATACTATCTCCCTCTGGGAACTCATCCTAAGTCTCCTTTTTCATCTTTCTCTTAAGAATCTTCTTCATCTTCATCTTTATAGGCCGCCTTTACTAATCACAATGAGAAACAAGCTTTCCACCATTTTTCTGAGGCTAAGTAGGCTCAGAGCTTGCAAACACAACCAGAGGACCAGTGCTTAGTGTTCATAATAAAGGGTTTATTTGCCTGGTATGAAATTAAAAACACAGACAACATCATCAGCTTTTTAATAATACTGAGGAACTGACCTTTTTGCCCTGGGTTTTTTTTGTTTTTTTTCTTTTCTACCTTTTAGGTAATTAAAATAGCAGATGGTGGGACTGGGATTGTGGCTTCAGTGGGGTAGAGTGTTTGTGTTGCATGTGAGAGGCCCTAGATTCGATCCTTAATGACCAAAAAAATAGCAGCTGGGTTATGTGTTTATGTAGTTAAAAATGAATTTAACTAAAAATAAGTGCACTTATCCTAAAAAATAAAATAACACGTTAAAGTTGTGAGGTTTTGCTTTGTTTTTGTTTTTTTTTTATGCCCTTACTGGGCAAAAATAAAAAATGGATGACTTTCTACAAGTGACACCAGGTTTCTTTTAAGTTTTTAAAATTACATTTACTTGTTTACTATTACTAGTTTTACTAGTACATTTACTATTTATTTGTATGTGTATGCATGAGAGAGAGAGAGAGAGAGAGAGAGAGAGAGAGAGAGAGAGTGAGAGAGAGAGAGAGAGAGGTGGAGGTCAAAGGACAGTTCTCAGGAGTGGTGCTCTCTTTTCACCAGATGAGTACTGTGGGTGGAGCTCAGGTCATCAGGCTTGGTGGTAAGCTGTTTTTACTTGCTAAGTCACCTCCTTGCCCCAGTGCCTACAGTTTTTTTTTGGTTTCTGAAATCTAAAACTTTGACCAACAGGTATTTCATAATAAAAATGTCCTAGACTTGTTTTTATGCCTTGTCCATCATTTGAAAAGGTACTCTGATAGACGTGATTTAATTTGCAACCCTCCCAATAACATGCTTGTCCTTCTGTTTTCAGAGACAAGCAACACAATTTTTGTAAGTATGTTTTCCCTGTAGGAACTAGATAGTTGTGTTCAATCCTTAGTCAGATATTCATTTATGGATAATATCAATAAATGAACTTAGCACGCACTAAGTCCTGGGAAAACACAAACATGAGTAACTCATTTTCCATGCCTTCAAGAAAATTGTAAATTAGGGAAGAAGATCTAGTTGTTAGAAAAAGAGACAAGGTTTTGGTATTCTGCAGGCCAGAGGGGAAAGTGCTCTCTTCTACTTCAGACAGCTTCACTGGAGAAAATGGAGAACATAAAAAAAGGCACTCTAGGCAGGCATCTACTGATACTGGAGACACTGGGGAGGCATTCTCCACTTCAGCATGGAACATGTGCAGGAGGTAAAGCTCAAATGGTATTGTCCACTTTTAATGTAGTATTCCACAGCTACCTGTATAGAACATACTTTTTTTTATATTTGTAGACCAGAAAAAGGGTGAAGCAGGAATGCTCTGTTTTGTGATGTCTTGATTCTGTAGCTTTCCCTTCCTTAATGACTTTCACACTCACCGCAGGAATTTAATATGGATGCTTGTCTTGTGCTTGGATTCAAAGAGTTAACTACAGAGCACAACACAAGACAAATCCGACACAGACATTTGCTGACCATAAGCTTACCCTGCCCAACATGAGCCTCAGCTGCCACATGAGCAAATGCCATAGCACTGACATCTGTGGAGCCCCAGAGAGCCTGCCAGAGGGGCCTTGGCCTACCAACATCTGGAATATCTGGATCCTGCCTGTCACATTGTAGGGTAACTGTGGACAAGATCTAGGAGTATCCAGAGGAGATGACCCTGAAGCCATCATACAGAGAATGACATTAAAAAGAGGGCCAGGTTAGCTGCATTTCGGTATTTAAATGAATTTATTAAGGTAGAGGTGGATGGTTTCTTGTGGGTTGCCACAGAAGGCTGAAAGTAAATTAGAGGAAGAACAATTTTAGCTCACTGGAGCAGATCATTTAAAAGGACCTTTGCCTCCTCACCCGCATCCCATCATATAGTACTCTGAGATTGTTCTGATAAAATCTGGAACTGTTTTGACATAAACAAGGTAACTATCTCCACTTGAAGAAATGTCATAATAAAGAGTCTTGTCTATAAGGATAGCAGATTCTCTAGAACTTTTTCCATCTTTTTAGTCTGAAAGTTTAGCGTTTGTTCCATCTTTTAAGCATCTGAGTCCTTCCTCACTTTTGCCACGGTTATCCTCACATTAATCCACTTAACTGTGAATTTTCTTATTTTGTAGTATCTGACCAAAAGGATACCACAGAACCCAAGATATCAACATGTCAAGTCAAGACTGGACACTGGTGAGTAAAGATCACAAAATCAGAATAAAAGACAATCTAATAGCTAGTTATTGAAAGGAAGGAGTCCATCAAACCTGGGATCAATCAGAGCTAGAAGCTTCTTACCATCTTGCCCCAGTCTTTCTGAGCTAAAATTTATCTCTGAAAGCTGTTTTTCAGATTATCAGTGAAGATTTACATTCACATAATTTCTATTATTATTTCTTACCATGTTAGAAATAATCTAACTTGGGAAAATGAAATCCTAGAAATTGAAATCATTATTTAGTAAATTGCAGGGCCAATGCTAAACAGATATCAGGAGATCACACTCAAGTTTGGAGCACCCTAAGTGTATTCCATCAAAGTGACAGTAATAGATTGTACATGTGCATGTTTGTTCAGTTCAGTATTTGCAGTGCTGATGACATGTAAAGGTGTGGACTCTGGGAGATAGAAAGATGAGTGTGGAGTGTGGCTTTTGCAGTTAGAGCCGTGGGACTCAAGTGGAGACAGACTGACGAATGAGTAACTAAAATACCAGACAGAATTTAATTAGTACTGCAGCTAGGTGAAAGGCAGGTCTAAGAGTACTTTCCTACTCATCTCCATGTGGTTCACATCTCTTGGTGTCCTGATAAGGGCTGCTGGCCAGAGTCTTGTGAGGTTTGGGTTGTTTTTCTTCAGCCTTTACTAGTGGACTGGGGACTATCTGCCTTGCAAGTCTGAATTTTCCTCCAGTCCCTGGAGACACCTGAGGACAGCGAAAGGGAGTGTACCTTTGCTTAAATCCTCTGTATTTCATCTTTGTCTTTCTCCAGTCTCCTTCAAAATCATTGTCTTCTGTTACGTGTTTCCTCAAATAGCCTAGACGCAGATGTTTTGAATGTGTCATATTTGAAGATACTATTTTTTTGGGGGTACCTTTCTTTGAAACGTTTCCATGTCATATGGAGATTTATCTTTGCATATATTCTGTTTGATAGGCAAGTGAAAATATTTTTACTGTTGTAGAGGAGAAAATTGTGACCTAGAGATTTTGAGATTTACTCAGAGTTCAGTAAAGGAGACAGAAGTAGGGTTGTTCGCAGGTAAGGAAGTCAACACTGGACAGTGGGTGCCAGGCCTGATGCATTAGCTCAGACTGTCCTGCTCTGTATCTTCTCCAGCCAATTTCTGTCACAAATATCTTCTACAACTCCATCTTCCTCCTTAATTGCAAGTTGGTCCATTCTTCTGAAATAAGTGATTCTGGGAGGGAAGCACCTAGATTTATAGTGCCATAATTTTTTTTCAAGAGTTCATATGTTGTGTTAAAGACTACAGTAAATAAATGAATTTCATTTGAAGCTTTTCTACCCCCTTAAAGTTAAAAAGAAAGGCCGAGCATGGTGGTGGCATATGCCTTTAATCCCAGCACTTCCGATCTCTGTGAGTTCAAGGCCAGCTTGTTCTACACAGTGAGTTCCAGGACAGCTAGGGCTACAGAGAGACCCTGTCTCAGGAAAAAAAAAAAAAATTAAAAAGAAAAAATTTCTCACTATGTAGCCCTGGATGTTCTGGACCTGGCTATGTAGACCATGCTGGCTTGGAACTCACAGAGATCTATCTCATAAAATTAAAAATTAAGATTTTTAGGTGCTGGAGAGAGAGCACAGTGGTTGAGAGCACTGACTGCTCTCGCAGAGGATGCAGGTTTGATTCCCAGCACCCACATGGCGGCTATGAACCATCTTAACTCCAGTTCCAGGGGAATCCGAAGCCCTCTTCTGACCTCCACAGCATTGCACGACACGGGTGCACTCTCATACATGCAGGCAATACACTCATACACATAAAATAAAAATAATAAATAAAATTGATTTTTTTAATTAAGATTTTAAAGGGATGGAATATAGCTCAGTGATAGAGTGCTGGTCAAGTGCTCTCTAGGCCCAAGTTCAATTCCTTGTACTAATAAGAAAAGAAGGAAAAGAAGGAAGGGGGGAGGGAGGGAAGGAAGGAAGGAAGGAAGGAAGGAAGGAAGGAAGGAAGGAAGGAAGGAAGAAAATAAGTAAATAAATAAAATTTAGGAGCTGAAGTTTATTTCTAGATTTTGCTTCTACCTTTATAACTTTTTTCTCATGGAAATCAAATGGAATTTATGCCATCCCTCTGTCTCTTCAGTCCATAACCAAAATATGACTCAACAATGGAACCAGAAATTAATTTCAATTTTTAATATGATACATGTGATTTTTAATGTATAATAAATGCCTTTATCTTTTATAACCTGAGAACTTTAAACTGCTTTTTTATTAATTAAACTTTTTATTTTGAGATAGTTGTAGAGTCCATGCATTTCATAAGAAATGGACTGGAAAGCCCACATACTCTTTACTGTTTCTTACAATATAACATCTTACAGAACTGTCCTACACTATTGCTGTAGTCAAAGAACAGAACACCGCCATCCCCACAAGCATTTCTTAGATTGTTCTTTTATAGCCGTGTCTACTGTCTACTCCCATTCCCTCTTTAATCCCCACAACCACTAACCTTTTCTTCATTCTGTCATTTTGTCATTTTACAAATATTGCACCCATGGAGCCATATAGTATACAACCTTTGGGATTATGTTCTGGCATTTTTCTTTCCTTGCTTTTTTATGTGTGTGTTGCTGGGGATTAAAAGGGCCTTAAACAAGCTAGGAAAGTGCTCTGTGGCTGAGCTGGATGTCTCCAGCCTGGATTGACATTTTTCATTCAGCATAATTCTCTGGAGTTTCATCTAGGTTGTTGTGTGTATCGGCAATTTGTTCCTTTGTGTTACTGGCGAGTATTCCCGGGTATGGCTGTGTAATATAATTTAATAATTTACCTGTTGAAAGACATCTACACTGTTTCCACTTTGGAGCTGTTTACAAATAAAAGTGCTGTAAGCATTCATGTACATAAGCCTTCACTTCTCTGGAATAAATGCCCAAAAGTACAATTGCTGGATCATATTGTAGTTTTGTCATACAGTGGTTTGGTTTGGTTTGGTTTAATTCAGTTTATTCTTTTGTTTTTGACTCTTTTTGAAACAGGGTCTCATGTAGCCTAGGCTAGCTCAAACCCTATTTATAGCCAAGACTGACCTTGAACTCTTGATCTTCATGTCTCTGCCTCCCAGTTTTAAGATATTGTCAGACTGTTTTCCAGAGTATCTGTACCATTTTATATTCCCATCAGCAACAGACAAGTGGTCCATTTTCTTCACATCCTCACGTGCATTTGATGGTGTTACTGTGTTTTATTTTAGCCACACTGATAGGTGCATAGTGCTATATAATGGCAGTTTTGATTTCCCTAATGGCTAATGCTGAATCTTTGCATGTGTTCATTTTGCCCCTTGTTCATGTTTTTGCCTGTCCTGATTGGATTGCTTGCCTTTTGACTGTTGATTGTCCAGTTTCTTATAAATTTTAAACACTCATTATTTGTGGAAGACATGGTTTGCAAGTATCTTTTTCCAATCTATAACTTCTCATTTCATCCTTCTATCAGTCTTTTGAAGAATAAAATTTTTTTATCTTGATGAGGACCCTTTTTCTTAGTTTTTTTTTATAATCATGATTCTGTGGTCCACTTTAAGAACTCTTTGCCTAACTTTTGCCCCAGGGATTTTTTCCAAACATGACTTTTTTATCCTGAAATTTGTATAAGTCCGTGATAATTTTGAAGTGATTTTGTATAGGGTATGTGACTTAGATTGAGATTAACTTTTAACTTATGGGTATACAATTGGTCTAACATCTTTGTCAACCATCAGTAGAATATATATGTGGGTCTATTTCTGAGTCTCTGTTTTGTTCCCTGGATCTATGCATATATCCCCTTGCCAATACCACACAGTCTTGATTAATGTAGCTGCATAGTAAACAAGATAATTGAAACTGGATAGACTGATTATTCTCATTTTGTTTTTCTTTATAGAATTATTTTAACCATTTTGCTTCCTTCACTTTTCTATATACATTGTAGGATAGTTTTGTTTATACTTGTAAAATGCTATGATTTTTATAGGAATTTTTGTCAATTTGGAGAGAATTAACATCTTTACTATGTTGAGAACTATTGATCTATTTTCTGTTTCTGTGGATCTGCCTGTCCTGAACGTGTAAGTGGAATTGTACAGTGTGTAACCTATCGTGTGCCTTTTTTACACAGTGTAATGTATTCAGGGTTTATCCCTCTTGTAGTATATGCCAGTTCTTCACTCCTTTTTATTGCCAAATGATCTTCCATTGTGCAGGTATTCCACATTTTTTATCTACTCATCAGTTGATGGATATTTGTATTATTTATACTTCCTGGCTGTGGTGCATCTAAGAACATCAGGTATGTAAGTTTTTATGTGAACATGTGTTTTCAGTTCTCTTGAGTGTATACTGAGGAGTTGGATTGCTGGTCATATAGTACTCTGTATTTAAGTTTTTGAGAACATGTCAAACTGTTTTTGAATGTGGCAACACCAATTTACATCCCCATCAGCCGTGTGGGATGGCTGTCTTCTCCACACCCTCACCATTGTTTTTTGACCATCATGTTGATTATAGCCACCATCATGGGCATGAAGTGGTACCTTGTGGTTTTAATGTGCATGTTCCCAGTGACTAATGATATTGAACAGCCTTTTGTGCTTATTGGCATTTGTATATATCTCCTCTGGAGCAATGTCTACTTAGATCATTCGTCCATTTTAAAATAGGAGTTATTTTTCTTACTACCATTATTCTTTTATTCCGGATACTAGACTTTTAACAGAAGTATGATTTCAAATGTATTCTCCCATTCTGTGGACTGTCTAGGGTTTTTGTGGTACTTAGCTTGGAGAATAAATTTTGTCTACCCATCTTTCCTAGAAGCAGAAGTCTCCTCAAGTAGTTTTATAATAGCTTTGGGAATGGCCAAAGCTTGCCTTATTGCTTCAAGCTCAAAAAATTTTAAAGTTAGTATGAGAGATAAATCTTATCCTAGTGTGTGTGTGTTTCAAATTTG